TTTTCGTTTTAGTAAATTTTCAATTTCGCAAAAATTCAATTTGATTTCACATGTTTGTCGAAGTTAGATTTATACTGGAGTCATGTTTCATTCTGAATTTTGTCTACAGTACACAACATTGTGTTGGTATGTTTAATAAAGATCCATAGAACTTATCACGAATTCATATCGGAAATCAAGCAAATTTATTTACAAAAGCACCATGAAACGTGGTAGTCATTAATCTTCAAGCCACGAATGTCTTCAAGTTCGATATAACCTCTCGTGCTCGCAGATTAGATTATCGCAGACCTCTCGTGCCTTTTTATCTTTAATAATCTTTTTTTTTGTGGCGTGTATGGATGTTACGCTTGTTGTAGCGTTTTCGTGGCGTATATGAAGGCTGCATTTGTTATAACGTTTGCTTGGCCAATGCGTTTTCTTAGCCGTGATATCTGCTACAACTAGCACAGATATCGTGTATAATCAACAGATATATCTGATATGATTAGCTATAATATCTGCTAATATCAGAACTAATATCAGTTAATATCAGCACTGATATCTGCTATAATCAGCACTAATATCTTATATAATCAGCACTAATATCTTATATAATCAGCACTAATATCTACTATAATCAGCACTGATATCTTCTATAATCGGCACTGATATCTACTACTATAATCAGCACTAATATCTACAATAATCAGCACTGATATCTACTATAATCAGCACTGATATCTGCCATAATCAGCACTAACATCTTATATAATCAGCACTGATATCTGCTATAATCAGCACTGAAATATACTATAATCAGCACTAATATCTGCTATAATCAGCACTGATATCTGCTAAGGCGCCACATGACGCCGCCTTCTCGTCATCAGGCGCCACGTGACGGCGCCTGCTCGTCATCAGGCGCCACATGACGAAGCCTGCTCGTCATCAGGCGCCACATGACGACGCCTGCTCGTCATCAGGCGCCTCATGACGACGCCTGCTCGTCATCAGGCGCCACATGACGGCGCCTCCTCGTCATCAGGCGCCACATGACGGCGCCTCCTCGTCATCAGGCGCCACATGACGGCGCCTCCTCGTCATCAGGCGCCACATGACGGCGCCTCTTCGTCATCAGGCGCCACAAATAATGACGTGCTTCATCACAAACACAAACTTTACTGCAGGTACTGTCGTACAGTCCACGTCAGCGCTCGTCTCACCACGTCACTCACGATTAATAGTTTTAATAATTTAATATTAAAATTAAAATATATTATTATTTATTATTAATAATAAATAATAAAATAAATTTGTTCATTATTAATATTATTAAATGATTAATAGTTTTTAAATTAATAGTTCCACGCTGAATAGTTTCTTTAGAAGCGCAAACTTCCTGTAGGATTGCCTGCCTTGAGATGAAGCGCGTCAATGGAACTGGAATTACCGAAGAACACTCCAGTTGAGAACCACTCATTCCTTCTATATGATTATCTATGGAGAATCTATAATATCTCCTATTTATATAGAATTAAACTCAATCATTAAGGTATTCATAGATTTTGTTAAAGATTTGGAAATAACTTGCAACCCCTTCAGGTAATATGGATCATCTTATAGACAGAAATAAATTTGTTTAGATATGTTTTGAGTGTTACTCAAGTCTATTTTGTACGAGATGCCAAGTCTGTGTTGTTGTAAAAGATGCCACCGTTGCTTGATGATTCTTAGATAAAAACTGTACATTTTACTACGCTGCATTATTGATGGAATAATCACCTAATCTAGCTACCTCAGCATAAAATTAGAATGATAATAATTAATAATATTAATAATATTAATAATAATAATAATAATAATGTTAATAATAATAATAATACCAATAATAATAACATTATTAGTAATGTTATTATTATTGGTATTGTTGGTATTATTACTAATAATACTAACAAAAATATTATTAATGATACAAATAGAAAAAACAACATATGACATTATAAAACTATAACTATAACTACATTATAAAACTATAATGTATTAATGTTGTCTACACTCTTCATTGTGAAAAGAACATGGCAATTTTAGCCTAACCTTAATGAGTATGAACCTTAATGAATATGAACCTTAATGAGTATGAACCTTAATGAATATGAACCCTAATGAGTATGAACCTTAATGAGTATGAACCTTAATGAGTATGAACCTTAATGAGTATGAACCTTAATGAGTATGAACCTTAATGAGTTTGACACTTATTGAACATAAACTTTAGTGAATATGAACCTTGATGAATATGAACCTTAAGGAGTATGAATCTTAATGAGTAAGAATCTTAATGAGTATAAACCTTAATGAGTATTAACCTTATTGAGTAATAATCTTAATGATTATGAAGCTTTGTGAGGATGAACCTTTATGAGTATTAACCTTAATGAGGATGAACCTTAATGAGTATGAACCTTAATGAGTAGGAATCTTCATGAGTATCAACCTTTATGAACTGTTTATAGTCGAGTGAATTATTTCTGTGCTATTTCTGCAGCAGTCTTCGGCGAGCATTTCCCTGGCAATGAAATGTTCAATTTCTCATGGACGGAACATTGTTTCTGGCGACAATAATGGTGTGCGCGCCGGTGTTTTTCTTCCAAATCTGCTAAAAAAAAGCTCAAAAGGTACATGGATCAGGATATGTATCACGTGTAATAGAAATATATATGTTGAGATCAGAGGTAATTCGAATTAATGATAGAACCTAACATTTTTGCTCGTGACCAAAACGTATAAAGTTAGTCGCTTTAGAACGATATTTGCCAGACTTGACTCGCTCCAGGTGAAGACTTTCGAAATTAAATCGGCACAATATCAGGCAACCATTAATTAACGAGTGCAATGTATGACATTATTGAGGGAACTTTACATAAATTTAAAAAATTTAAACTTAGAATTATAAAAAAGATCCTGTCATTTATGAGAAAGAATAAATTTTACAGTTTTATATCAATATCCCAAGTTTCTATGCCAACTTTGAACAAAGCCATGAATTTCACTGAATTGGGCACATATAATACCAGGGAATATATTGTGTTAATGTATCGTTTAATAAACAATGACGGCCTCCTGAAATATCGTTCCCATATTTCCCTTTCCTCCTCTTACAAAATGTCGTTCATTAGTTTTATCTTGTTTCTCGTAGGCACTTTTATTGTTGAAGGAGAATATTTTTTTCTAAAATAATAAAAAAAAACATTAATAACGATTCAATTTTGTCGTGCGTTGAAATTGTGGGAATAAACAAGCAGAATAATCGATGGCAATGGAAAAATTACAAAAACTTTTAATTGGTGTAATTAACCACCAAAACTTGAAGTATTTCCAGGGAAATAATCATTGCATTCACCTTTTTGAAAATTACATTACCACCTTTAGTGGAATATTTCGTTTTAAGCAGTAATTTTAATTATAAATATATATTGAATTAAGATTGAATAAAATAAATTTAAATATATCAATTTTAATTTGATTAATTTTTGACCACACTAATAACCAAAAACGCCTCAAGGAACTATATATTTTATTTAAATGATTATAATAGCGATCAAAATATTAAGTACCATCACTCGATCACAGAAAAATAAAGGAAAATAGTTTCCAAGAAAAAACGCGTTTTTGTTTCATTCAAATTGTGTTTCATTTCACATTCCAAAACGAGTGACCCTTGTCGCCATCTCGTCAGAAAAGGCACCGTTTATTTTTCTGACTGGTCGTGCAGCAACGTTTCATCTCCTCGTCGCTTGCAATATTCTTCGTAATGAATGTTTTCACCGGACCAAATTTATTCAATTAAGAATAACATATATTTATATGTAGAACTTCATAACCTAGTCCAATATCGCACCCACGCACACAGTCCTCCCACTCGCGACGGTCTTAAAGTAAAGCTCAGAACAGCGGTGGGTAAATTGCAATCTTCGAGGTCAACCTTTAAACTCGAGCAAGGGGATTTTGAGGGCATCGTACCCCCTCCTTAGCGGCGGCGGAGCGGCACACAACCTCTCACGACGGCGGCTGCATGGAAACTGACACGTCGGGCATCATCATCACCTCTCACCGAGGGCACCACAGCACCAACGACTCGACACAATCATTCAAACATTTCATATTATGTATAGAATATTATGTAGATGTTGACTGAAGATAATAACCGGCAGTCATAACGATTAAAAATCAATTATTCAATATTTTCAATCGTGATTACCATGGCCCAACTATTCGTAAATAAAAATGAAAGACGAGTGAAATCCAGTGCGAATGAAAGTTTTTACTTTAATTTTCTCCTTTCGCAAGAAGACAAATTACTACATAAATATTAATATTACTATATAAATATAACAACTTATGCGTGTTATGAAGTTGAGAATCTTTATACAGCAGCAAGATTTAACATCCCGGATTCTTTATACAAAGTTGCTCACCAGGAGTTAGAGACATTCGATCATTACGTCTATAACGATCTCATTTGTCAGCTACGAAGCTCCGTATATATTGCACTAATTTCATTTCGATATGCTAATTTCAATTAAATACACTAATTTCACTTGAATACACTAATTTCAATTGAATACACTAATTTCACCTCAATACATTGATTTCACCTCAATACATTAATTTCGCCTGAATACACTAATTTTACCTGAATTCATGAATTTCACCTGAATACACTAATTTCATCTCAATACACATACTTCACTTGAACACGCTGATTTCAATCGGAGATTTCCTCTTGTCTTGCGTTGTTTGAAGGCCAACATAACAGGTGAGATTCTTACTATCACTAACTGCATTGTTCATGGCTGCCGTGAAAACCGCAATGCTAATAAAAACTAAGCTTTGAACAAAAAATTAATGATACTGATTAATTAAGAAAATTCCATAAATTTCCAGGAAAATTTCAGGGGTATTAACTACATGATAACTATCACTCATGGAAAAATTAACGAAAGTCTGATGCAAGAGTAATGATTTACAAAAAGCAAGTGAACGACCCCGACATGAATGGCCGCTTTACGGCTTTACGAAATGGCCACCACATGAATGGCCCCCACATGAATGGCCCCCACATGAATGGCCCCCACATGAATGGCCCCCACAACCACATGAATGACCACCACATGAATGGCCACCACATGAATGGCCCCCACATGAATGGCCCCCACATGAATGACCACCACATGAATGACCACCACATGAATGGCCCCCACATGAATGACCCCCACATGAATGGCCCCCACATGAATGACCACCACATGAATGACCACCACATGAATGACCACCACATGAATGACCACCACATGAATGGCCCCCACATGAATGGCCCCCACATGAATGACCACCACATGAATGGCCACTACATGAATGACCACCACATGAATGGCCCCCACATGAATGACCACCACATGAATGACCCCCACATGAATGGCCACTACATGAATGGCCCCCACATGAATGACCACCACATGAATGACCAGCACATGAATGACCTCCACGTTAATGGCCGCCATTCACCAGCTTTCCACGGAATCTTTGGTCCTTCGCTCCAGTGTCGCAGAAGCGGAAACTGTCGTCACGGAAGACAGCGATCGAGATCCTGATCAAATTACATACTCGATAGCAAGCGCGATAAAAAATGGGGACCAGATAGAGACAGGTATGAATTAGACAGCATTCTTTGTTTGTTCGAAGTCAATATGCACCATTCCTCCAACTATATTATTATTATTTAATGCACGTTTCTTGGCAAATGGTTGGCAAAAGTCACGAATCAGTAGACTTTGAAACTAACTCTTGAGTCAAAATATCAATGCAATGAGGTTTGTCATTATAAATTATTTTAGCCAATACCTTGCTATACATAATGAACCATATTCTGTTCTCGTCTTATTTATATATTATTAATTACATTCCGCTTCTTCCAAGAATCTCTCATGACGCTTTGTCATCTTTTCATAACTCTTCATTGCTTTTAGTTATCGTTTATCATGGCATCGTTTTTCTGCTGTTACTTGTTCTTCCTGCGTACTCCCAACTTTACCGCTCAGATGCCGATTTATTAACCATCTCTAATTAACGCAGCCGCTCATACGCGTTTGATTGAAAAAATATCATTCATAACAAGAAGTGCTAAGACTTCAATAGATTTTTTTTAATTCACGCCCAAGTTTGCTAAACCCCTCCTGCAAAGTCAAGTTTTGACTCCTTCGTTTTCCACCGATATTTTTTATCAGTCGCTGCATGTTCTTCCTTCACCGACGTCTGGTCATGCACGTTTCCCCATGCCCTCATCCCCCACACGCGAGCTCCATTCCAATACCTTCAATAACAAGCAGAGGGTCTCGTCACGTTACTTTGCAAGTCCCGTAACACGAAAACATCTTCAGACCTTGCAATGACTTCCCTAACGAGTGCCTCGATCGAGTGCGTAGTTCCGGGCTACGGCCACAGAGTTTGTTAATTCTTGTATGAGTCTGGGGGAGCTTAACAAACTACGTAGCACGGATGTCTGGCTCAGAGATGTGGTAATTAAATGTCTGGAGATTTCTGCGTAGTAAGCGCTGCAATGCACGCGCAGTCCAAACTCTACTCTCAATGCTCACATGTCGCAATTTATTTAAAGAAACTCGTTAAATAAACATTCACGCTTTGTTAAATAATCTCACATGTCGAAATTCAATTGGGAAATTATTGTTTAATATTATGCGTCTACTAAACTCAAAACAAATTCTTCCCCAAAACAATTACAACTGACTTCGTTGTTTAGTTTCTCGATACAAGCAACCCAGCCATTGGAAGCCTTCTGAGTATTGCTCAATATTTTTAATTTTATTCTGTACGCTGCATTCCAATATTTTTGCAAATGCACACCAAATATTGATCAGGAACTACCCAATGTTAAGAGAGAGATACGTGAGCGCAAATCAGTGAACTTCACTTGTAACTTGTAAGAAAAACAAAACCTTGTCTGCATGATAGTCAATGCACTTTTCAAACAATTGTTTTTCGAAAAAGATGATTTTTGCTTAATGAATAAAGCATGTACCTCATCTCGCAGAGCAGAGATTTTGACAATGCGTTCTAGAGACATCAGTTGCTACCAGTAATGTTATTCTGCTAGTAAGTGCAACACTTGTTTTACAACCCATAAGTAAGGTACTCAGAAAAATATTTCACTTTGTAATGCATCTAGAAGCAGCAATTATGATGGCCGCGGTTGTTAACCTGAAATGTTTAATTCTATGTAAATGCAAGGCAGCTCTTACAGCCTCAGGTTATTTGACCTCCTGATCTTATTCGAAATTTTATAAGCAAGTAACTAAGACACAACTAGCTTCCTCCGTGTTACTCCACCCCTTCAGACATTCCCCCCAATTGTTTATTTATTGTTCGTCCTCCGTTCCCATGAACATTTCCCCAAATTGTTTGTTTGTGGCTCGAATACTTTCCGATCGAGCATTTTCCCAATTGTTTGCTTGTTTTTTGTCCATAGTTGTTTCAACATTTCCCCCAGTTGTGCGTTTTTTCCCGCCTTCATTTCAAACATTTCCTCAATAGTTTATTCCTTTGATTCTTTCATCCACCGCTCCTTTCAGCGTAAACATGAACAAACTGAGATTTATTTTAAAAAGTACATGAAAATGATACATGCCAATTACAATTTTGATCCTGATTCGATAAGCTTTGAAAAATTCGCTTTTAAAATGCATTTGCTACTTCATGACATTTGCAGCATTCCAACAACACCAAATTCCATCCTATGATCACAATAAAAAAAATCACCGATATTACGCCAAAAAAAACTCAAACGACGGAATTTTATTAATTAACAACGACGGTAGCATAACAAAGTTTAATGGACATAATTCAAGTGTCTTCAGGGGCGAATTTATGATAGGTGCATAAAAATTATGTCCTATATTATTTGGAATATATAACAGACGCACGAAGTATTATTATTCACGACAAAGTTATATAAATGTACATGTGGGAATGCTACTCAAGCTTCCCATGTACATGTAACTTTTTGTAACTCAAATGTAACTTTTTGTTTCCCATGTAACTCAAATACTTCCCATGTACATGTAACTTTTTAAAAGCGGTTTGATGTGAGAATGTACCTGAAGCATCTCAAATATTTTTTTCGAGAATATTGTAATGTATGTATATAATTTACCGATTTCTCATAGATACTTTTAGTGGTAGTAATTTTAATTTTATTTTAAGCGATTATTTTAGTTTGGGGATTTTATACAACGAGATGGAAGTATAGAAGATGAACGCAACTCAAACAAACATGAAAGTTTAAAGGCAGCCATAAAAGTGTAGCATATACGTAATTCTTTTTTCCCAAAAATTACTCGTTTCACTTTTGATCTAATGGCTTCAATTTAAAACTCAATTTTGACATAAATTATTCTTCGTAAACTTTAAGATGTACATTTTAATGTAAAATTTAATGTGTTGTGAAACGGTTTCCACATTTAACTCAACTAAATAAGAACATTCCTAAACAACTAAAATAATTTTTATTAGACACTATAGTACATTATTAAATAGGGCATTCTAATCAAATCATTTCATCGCCTAATAAGGAATTTCACCGTCTTAGATGATGCTTAGCATACTGCAAAACTAACGTAAATAGTTTGTGTCTTTTTCTAAACCATTTTTGCTATGTTTTTTTTTTTTACCTGGCATCTCAAGCAATAGGAAAGATAATATCGATTATGGAGCGGCCATTTTTAACCTTGAGAATCATACAATTTAAATATATTGGTACATCTCAATGGCAAGGAGAAAATTCACGAGACAAAGCAACGAGCTTTGAGGGCTAAAATTTCAGCATGGATCGAACAACGTGAAAATTATACTTTGTTCAGCACACAATATATTACATTGTTCACTCTTCAGCTATATGATTACTCGGCACACCTCACAATGAGCCAAATAAATCTTCTTCGCAATGTATAAAATAAATCTTTTCGTTGAAAAATGCGGTAGAGAGAATGCACCAAGATAATGGAAATGCACCAACCTTACAAACATGCCCTATATACAGCATTCCCTCACAGTGCACATGTGATATTCTTATAAAAATTAATTTGTTGAGACAGGAACTAAATTCGGGCATTTATTTCACCATCGTCTTTCTCTGCCGGCTACGACCAGACTCATAAGACTGTAGTTCAGTGCAGAGCGGAAGATCAACTCAAAAGACGAGGTTTTATTACCTAGCTATACAGATTTTAATTAGTCACTTGTCACGTAGAAATATCAATCGCACGTACGGCGACATGAAATCCATAATAATGAGCACGTGTCTAATCGATAATTGAACAGGGATGGAGAAAGACCATGTGCCTCATTAATGAACAGCATAAAGTAGCGGATAGTCTATAAGAAACAACGACGACATTAATCACTTTATTAACTAAAAGGAAATATTGAATGGTAATGACAAGAAGTTATCAATGAATTGTAATTAAACCTCAACCAATGTAAAGATTTATGCTTAAGTTAACCACATAGGTACAAAATTGAAGAAAAAGCTGCTCAATAATAGTGTTCATACATGTTAGCATGACAAATATAGGTTAAAAAACTGCACATATTCATTTAAAACTGCACATATTCAGTGCCCCGTTCAGTCACAGGCACTGTTTAACAGCGCCGGAGCACAACTAGCCGGAGCGCAACAGGCTACTCCTATTATCTAACCTGCGCCTGTTGCGCTCCGGCCAGTTGTGCTCCGGCGCTGTGAAGCAGTGGCTGTGTTGTGCAAAGCGGATTTACTGTTAGCCGGAGTTACCCACAGCTCATTGATCTGAGACTATGTGTAGATATTGCATGCTGATGGTTGGCGTTGGGCCCAGGGCCTGTTTACGAGTCAATTTTGTTACCCACGGCTGCTCTCCCGTACATTTTAATAGGGGGTAAATGTATCAGTCTTCGAGTCAGTGAAACACGATCAGGGACACGCACATGTATTTCAGTAGGAGGTTGACACAAGAAGAGAGCGATTGACGCGCCGCAAACGCTTTGCTACGCGTTGACGTGACCGCGACACGTAGTTGTCTTAGGAGGTCGCGGCGCGTCAATCGCTCTCTTCTTGTGTCAACCTCCTACTGAAATACATGTGCATGTCTCTGATCGTGTTTCACTGACTCGAAGACTGATACATGGTGCCCCGGGTGAGGATTAGTCATTTTATAAAAGGTTTCATAATTTAAAATGCTCACGTCAGCACCTGTATCAATTTTAAAAGGGAATATATTGTGCAAATTCAATTGAATATATACGACCCATCTAAAATTAGAATCAGTCCCACATTCACCTATGAAATACGTAGATTCAGCCTCCTCGTCTCGCGAAGTCGTGCGTGTCTCGACGATCTCGTTCACTCCGTGCAGTGTAGGCGCAGGACTAAGTGATGAAAAGTTGGCGGAAAAGTTGGAACATCTCTATTTAAGCAACAGACAAAATTTCACCTTGGATTTGGTCGTGGAATTTACTAGGTCGTATTGCGACGTGAGAGAAGGCCGCCGTAACGAGCATGGAGGTGATGCGCAGACGAGCGTAGATGCGGTCCAGGTGCGGCATCAACCCCGAGAGCCTAGAGGTGCGCGGCCTACAGAAACCAGAGCCGACGACTCAAGAGGACGGGTTTGTGCGAACTGTGGCTATAAGCATGGTCTTAACCGATGTCCAGCGACGGGAAGAAAATGTCATAACTGTGGGCGAGACGGTCACTTCAGTAGAGCGTGTCACGGCCGGAACTCATGAGCCAGGTCCTATCCTGCTATGAATTGGTCTCTTATTCTCTCCCTGGCGCTGATACCAAACTCACAATCTTGAGACGCAACGAAGAGTGAACGCAGGTAAATTTCTTCGTTCTCACCTGGCTGCTGAATTCGCCGCTGAAATTTTCGTCGAAGGCGGATTATATTGATCTTTGGTTTAAAATATCCATCAAATCTCTTCAGCACTATCTCAAAGTTCTTGGCTTCCTCTTCATTAAGCTCGAATGTACGGAATACATCTTCGGCTTCAGCTCCCATGCAGTACTTAAGACTGGCCACCTGAACGCTTTCATCTTCAACGTGGAGCTTCGAAGCCGTTCGAAAAGTCAAAAAGTTCCTTTTCCACGCATCCCATCGGGGTTCCACAAAATTGAGAGGTGCCGGTGCTCTATATTGAGCCATTAACGAGACTAACCAGTAACACACACAGCACAGACTATTCGTCCAACCGGGGCACCATGTATCAGTCTTCGAGTCAGTGAAACACGATCAGGGACACGCACATGTATTTCAGTAGGAGGTTGACACAAGAAGAGAGCGATTGACGCGCCGCGACCTCCTAAGACAACTACGTGTCGCGGTCACGTCAACGCGTAGCAAAGCGTTAGGCTTAAACCTCGGTACAGTAAATAGGGTTAAAAGGTAGCAGAATAGGGGGGCTAATCAGCAGAAGGGAGTAAATTTGACTTCATTAGATTACCAGAACCTCGATTCCACCTAAAAAAGTGGCTGCTCCTATCAAAAATCTAAAAGCAAAGTAGTACGCGAACTTGATTTCCAAAACATGCAAATTAGACCTCTTTTGATATTGCAAATAATAATGCAGCGGTGTCAGAGTTTAAAATTGGGCCATCAAGCCATTCACCGATTCCGATTTTTGCAGAATTTTCAGCTAGTCGCTCGCCTCGAACATACAACTCACTGCCACAATGTTGCTGTGCTTGAACTTTCCGTTGGTTGCGGGTCTCGAACCTACAACTCGCAGCACCAGTTGTTGATCTTAACCACTCGAATACCCCACCGTTCGATTCCACTGATCCTAAGAAATGTCTATGGAAGCCACTCTGTCCCAACGCGTACTTTTCTTAAGCTTTCCACGTAATAAATAATTCACGACCAGACTTAATCAGAGACGCCCCACTCGTCACCGAACTGGCTGGGTACGTCTGACTGGGTAGATGAGGGCACAGCCAAATCATTTCCAATTCAGAAGATAACAGGAATTGCCATTATATCATTCTTAATATCTCATAAAATTTCGACTTATCTTCCATTTCTATCAAAAATTTGTACACCCGGTAAGGCTTTCCTTATTGGAAGGATTGAAGACACCTTCAATACTCCTTTCAAGATTTGGAGGCTTGCTTGTTTTGAAAGTCACGTCGAAGAGTACTTGTCATGAACAGATCAACTACTGTAGTACTCTTCGATGAACAATAACGATGAAACGATGCTCTATTGAACAATAGAGCATCGTTTCCCTAACTTGGGTAAATACATTTAGATGTGCGGGCAATACAAGTGTAATAGCTCGAGTTGATTATTTTATTTCGCTGTGTGAATCAATGTTGACGAATTGAAAGGGGAACCAGTCATTGTGGCATGCTAATTTGATAAAGGTAAAAATGTTCGATATTACTGAAATGACACCAGAAGAGCATTCAACCAGATTAACATATAAGACTATTGACTGAAACAAAAATATTTCAAACTGAATGTCTGTTCTGTGCGAAATATGAAAACATTGTTGAGCAATGTTATAACCCCACTCCCAAACATGCTCAACCTGACGCCCCTAGTCTTCACTTAAACAAGAAAAAATTCATGCTCGTGAAATAACATTACTGTGAAGCAGTAGGTTCAAACTGTTTTTCAACAAAAAATAAACAAGGAAAAGAAAGCGGGAGACTTGTTCACTATTATTATTTCCACTACATCGCGAAATGATAGTTTTTCTACCTAAGTATTGAACGCGACGGTAACAATTTACAAAGACATCAAGGCAATACATTTACACAGAAAAATGCTGAAGCAATGATCGAAAACCTAGCTCAAAACTCAACAAGTAACCTAGAACCATGAAGATAACGAACAATGATGAAATACTACAGGTAACTATATAATTTATGATTAAATCTAAATTTTATCATCACACCAGCTTTCTCTTCCCAGAACGGCAAAAAAAGTTACCATTTTTATAGACAACGAATGTAGTTCAAAATAAAAATGTGTGGTTAAGAACAAGTGACCAATGTCTACTGTTGGAAGAGCAAATCATTCCGTGAAAGAAATTACGATGTGATGCATAAAGCGTTCAGGTTCGGTCAATTCTTGTGAGGTCCAGATTATGCATGATACTAGTCAATTTCTCTATTTTTTCATTTTTTTTTTATTTTTTTTTCAATTTTCGTTTCTCTATTCGTTTCCAACTAACTAGGAATGAACTTCATTTGAAAAAAACTGGATCTTAAAAGGCGCGTGTCTATCTTAAATTGGAAATTTCATTTCAAATCCATCTTAATATAATATATCATAAATCAATTATTTCGCATCAACTCGTTATTTTAACAATGATGCCAAGTTAAATAGACTTGTATTAAGTACATTCACGTAACAGCAGCATCTTGTAAATCAATTGGTCGTATGTGACCAATCCTTATAACTTCTAGAACTTCTTAACTTGTAGTAGATCCATACAACTGAATAATTGACTGTAAAACCAGTTTACAAATATTCCGTAGCACAAAAGCTCTACAATGATATCATGTTCCTTTTTTTACTTAACATTGCTAAAAATTTTATGAGGTGGAGTGGTCCAATGCGCAGAAGAAGAGCGCACTTTAAACGTAGACTTTTGAACTTTAAACATTTCCTTCAGATTCGGCAGAACCATGACCTTATTCCTTGGGAAGATGGCTTCCAGGTCAAACTCTTCTTTTTCTTGTCTGATCAAAGCTATGCGCATCATTTTTACTGCACAGGGATGAAAGGATTAGAACAACCTTAAAAAATTGATTCTCTTTCATGAGGTAAACATGAATATGCACATAATAATTGACTAATGACGGCGGTGATCCTCAGAAGAAAATAATTAAACTTCAACGAAATGATCCCGAATTCAAGAATAATTAGATAAATAACATATTTTTCAAGGCTAATGAGATATGATATCTCGCGTTTGCTGATGAAAAGCATTGACAGTAAGTTTGACAGAATATTCACTAGTCACAATTCAAGAAAAGAAATAAGTGGATAAGAAAGGAGAACTCATAAGCATAAAAAATATAACGTACGTAACTCAAGCATGCTATATAGAGACGCCAACGTGAATTGCACAATGAAGCAAAGAAATCAAATGTACATGAAGAGTTAAAGGAAAATATTGAAGGGTGAAAATACTCACCAGAGGCCCATAGTGGGACTTTTTTCTTGGGATTAGAATCGTCATCGCTGGAGTCTTCACTTTTAAGATCGTCGATGCCGTAGTCATTCTCGTTGGACATCGAGGGAGTCATCTCATAAGAGTCTTGACTAGACGTGCTCACTTTGCCGTAACTTGTGCACGGCGTCTTGGGAGTGGTCGAGGAGGTGGAAGCAACTGTGAAGGTAGTATTTCCAGGAACAGTGAATGTGGAGTTGCCGGGAACAGTGAATGTGTTATTGACCTCCATGGAATGGTTAAGAACTTTCTGTATTTGAATGGGTTTGAGTACGGACGATTTCACGTTGTTTGCAGCAGCAGCAGTTTGTTCTTTCAAAAGTCGTAGTTCTTCCTTCTCACGTGCCATACGTTCCTTTTCTCGTCTAAACAGACAATTAGCAACAAAAAAATAATTAATAAAAAGGTCTAAATGATGAAAACAGCAATAATGACTAAAACACATTAGCACTAAAAGAAATAAATGGATATCTACGTCAACTCAACAGACAGTTCATATATCAAAATAAACACTCACTTTTGTCTTAGCCGAAACTCTTCAGCTTTGCGTTCCTCTTCGGCAATCCTTGCAGCTTCCAGGCGTTTTCTTTCCTCCTCCTCCTGCAAAAAAAAATAAATACATTAGCTTCCTCATTGATTGGTGTCGTAGTCAAAAAACAAGGGCAACAATTTCAGAATTCTCAACAAATAAAAACACCGTAGAAAGTCGGCAATGGGATTGACAACATATAAATGTTGTCAATCTCATTGCCGGTCCCATAACATATAAATGTATAAATAACCACATGTTGACATAAAAATCGTGACAACATATAAATTAAATAACAACTCAATTCGCATATTACGGAGTACAGTGAAAATGAATTGATGTACTGTATTTAACCAAATACATTTCTCAAAAATATTTGAAGCAAACGGTCGCTTAGAGAACACATTGAAGATTGATTCTCTCACTTGCTCCAAAAGAATTCGTTTCTTTTCTTCAGCCTCCTCTCTCCTCCTGACTGCTTCCTCTTCTTTCCTGAGCCGTTCTTGTTCTCGCCTCTTCTTCTCTTCTTCAGCTTTCTTTAACAAAAGTTGTTTCTTTTTGAGGGCATCCTCTTTGAGCCGCTGCTCCTTTAATTTCTTTTCTTTCTCCAGCAACTCCAGGGCCTCTGCAGCCTTACGTTCCGCAGCCAGACGCGCTTCCTGGGCTTTGCGCATGCGCTCCTCGTTGCGCCTGCAAGGGTAAGATATTACAGCTCATCACAACCATACAGCCAAGCGTGACTTAGCAAGTACCATTATAGGCACTAAATTCAGAGAATGAGCAACACAAGTTTTTTTAACTAACAATACACAATGCAGGTCTCTTAAGACGTCATAGGTTTGCAATAACAGCATTGTAACACTGAACGGGCTTGCAATAAAAAATCAGTCACTTTGATATAGGGGCTGATATTTGAGCGCAAAAAAATATAGAATGTTGGGATGTCTTTGTATATAATTTCACTTTTAGTGGTGGTATCTTTATGCATTGCTCAACAGAGATGGTTGATTTGAAAATAGAAATATAATTTAAGCTCATATGTAGGTACTTTCAATTTTATTCAACCTAAAAACAAAAAACAAAGTTTCCATTACCTGACCTCTTGGTATGGCATTGACGACAGTTACTAATGTATGTAAAGAAATGGGTAATCTGCTCGTTCGCAACGAGGAAGACGCTATCAAATATTATTATTAACCAACTCACTTCTTTGTTTCGTTCCTTTTTGCGAGCATCTGCTCCTCCTTTTTACGAAGAGTTTCTTCCTCTTTTTCCTTCTTTTTGAGCAGTTCCAGCTGCTTCTGCTCCTCAAGCTGCTCCTTGCTGGGCTTTGAGGATTTCTGCACAAGAACACTGGGGCCCAGGAAGCTCCGTACTCCGCACACCAAGTTATGGGGGCGAGATCCTTGTGATGGAGTGCCCAACTGAAACACCATACCAGGATTAAAAACAATGAAAGAAATGGTTTTAACTTGACATGATAAAAATTGAAGAAGTCTTGATTAAAGAAAAAGAGAAGAAATTGAAAGAAGTCTTGATGAAAATGTGTTATAAAGGCAATTAAACATTTCTATGAGATAAAATATAACAAACCCAACTTTTGCAAGTGTTCATCTCAGAACTATTAGGTTCAAATTTTAATAATTACTTTTAGAAGTCAACACAGAATATTCTAACATACTAATCCCCAACAATAGTGACAATGAATTGACTTGAACATATTGAGTTTTTTATTAAAAAATAAATACGCGTGCAATCAATATCATTAGTAAAATTTTTGAACCCCTTGTCAAAAAAATTTATGAGGTGTTTAGCGGAGGCAATGACAAAATGCGCCTGAACATAAGATAAATTAGGCATCAATTCAACGGTGTTGAAATTATTCAATGGAATAATACCTTGATCTTATTGTGATGAGAGTCCGTAGAAGAGGCGGTGACAAAGGTTCGCACTCTGTTCATGCTGAGAGGCGTGACGCGGGAGCTGCTGGTTGCCACTCTAGAAGTGCTTGAAGATCTTCCCAATAAGGGCTTCCGCTCCGACTAGACGATAGAAAAATAGTGTGGATTGCATGAATTTCTTCGATATTTATCCTTTAATATAAAACAAAATGCATTGACAGCAAGTAAGTCAACGAAAATTTCGTCACCACCATCATCGTCTCCCAAAAAATTTGCATAATTATTCAACACAGCAAACTCGCACTAAAATAATTTGAGATGAGGTTATGAACAAATCTTCAAAAATAGCCAAGTCATGGCCAAACATTTGTATGGGATGCAAATAATCAAATAAATCACCAATAACAAGGACTTACAGCAAGAGGCGTACGAGACCCAGAAGATGGAGAACCACAAACCATCCGCTTGAACAAAACAGTAACGATACAAAAAATTAAAAGAAATTTTAAAAACAATTAACTGAACATAACATCAACGCTAAAATCACGACAACTCAGATATTGAAATTGTGATTCAATAAAATAATTCCAAGCCATGAATGCAGCCACAAAAACAAAACTCGCAGTGAACTAAAATTACCTTGGGTAGCGGAGAAGGGGCCGCCACGTGCTGTGAGTAGGCGGCTGCCAGCTGCTTGACTCCAGTGCGCCTGAAACAAAATAACGACTTTGAATCACAGGAGTAGATCAGAGCTAACTTTCTTTCTGAATCTTTTCATTCAATAAGAGAATCACCAATGAGACTACATCTACAAATGCTGATATATGTAACAAAAAGATCGAGCAAGACAGATCGGAATATTATAACTCAAATACAATAATGGAATACCTGAGCCAACAATACGTACGAGCTAAATGGTCTGGGAGAGAATTTCCCCGAACCTGGGGGCCCAACTGCAGGTTTCTTAATGGCTGCTGAGAGTTGTTGCTGGTTGATGATGGCTTGTTTGTTGAGGGCTGCACGAGCCAACTGTTGCTGCAGCTGCACGCTCTCCTCTTGCTGCTGTTGCTGGAGTCTTACTTTAGAGCGAGTCATGCGCCGGGGAGGTGCAACAATTTCTTGCTCCTTTTCTTCTGACAGATCATCTGCATCAGAATCTTCATCATCAGCCTCTGAACACTCGTTCGTATCCTCTTCAGTGTCATTGGCAACCACTTGCATATTGTCAGTGGCGATCATTACACTTTCGTTATCTGTTTTGCTTCGATTATTATCGTCACTACAGGATTCTACATCTGCAACAGCTCCTTCCTTATTATTAATCTGTACGCTTTTAGGGAGGTGTAAATCTAGAACTGATTGAGACAACGGTGAAAAACAAAGAGTGGCTTTGGGAAGATTGTATGGCGTTTCTCCGGTGATTTTTGCTCGTGAATTATCAGGTGAAGAATGATTAGAGGTTTGAAGAGGGCGTAACTGGGAAGGATTTACACTAGGAGGTTCTTCAGAGCGGCATGGAGAACTAAGCCTCTTGTTAGAAACCGTATTTAGTGAAGTTATTGAAGCATTGGATACTCTTCCCTTTTTAATCTCATTATTCGGTTCATCCTCAGAATCTGAGAGCAGTAAACACATTGTCTTGGAGTCTTCCATTTTGTTAACACTTACGCGTTTTTGTACCTTCCGTCGTTTGCTTCTGGTTGACCGAGTGTAGTCATCACTATCACTTGTAGTGCTGCTGGTCTCTACTAGACGCTTCTTGGTTCTAGTAATTCGCAATTTGGAGATCACCTCGCCACTCTGGACGTCATTAGACTCTTTCTGATCTGCATTGGCCAGCTGACGCGTTTTAGTCCTAGTCACGCGTTTTGGTTGCATTATGGGCGGAGGTGTGAGAGGTGCTTTGAATTGAGACGATTCGCAGGCAACATTTGTTACAGTGGAGACAACCTCTGCAGTGCCGGCAGATGAAGAACTCCCTGATTCTGTAACATTTTCATCAACTTGCATACCATCATCGTCATCAACAGACATTTTCATAGCAGGAGTCTTCATGTCACAAGATACACTTGTTACTTTATCATAAATATTTTTAGAGCTTGCCACATCGTCATCAGTTAGAATAAGTTTATCATTACAGTCATTAACTGCTGCTTCCTTAAGACCTATAACGTGGCTAGATGCTTCCGAGACAACACAATTAGAATCTTCAGTGAGCACCACAGCTGGCACAGCAACCACCTGTTCTTGAGTAACGAACACAGATTCACTGCTAGACGTAAATGAACATGATTTTCGATCAAGTTTTGCACACTCTTCTTGTTTTCCTTGTGAACCACAGGCAGGTTGATCAGCTGGTTTCTGAGGTTCCTCAGGCAAATTTTTAATTGGTTCATACAGAAATTTTTCCTCCGTCCTGCATGATTTTCTAGCAACAGACTCTGTATGTTCATTGCTGTTGCTGCTACGCCGCTTCCTATCAATCTGAGCGGTGTTAGACTCGCGAACTTCCGATGTTTTGCATTTCTCATCATCAGAAATTGTGTCAATTTGGCATGATAATTTAACTTGTGGCTGTTCTCCGTCATATGATTCAAGTTTTTCTCTTTCAGTCTGCTCACTAAGTGGTTGTGGCTGTCGCATTTGAACAGGTCCTTCTTGTTCAGAGTCACTAATTTCCTCTTCTACCTGTTCAGGTACTGGAAGTGGTTGCTTCATTTGCACGGGGACAAGCAGGGAGGGCTTGCTGTGTCGATTACCACTACTGGCAGTACTACAGCTGCTCAGTCGCTCGAACACACCACTGTCGCTGTTGTTACTATCAACAAAACTTGGTGTCAATACATTTGAACTTTATGTGAATGTGAAAATGCTCAAGATTTATGTGATAAACGTAAATAACCATGCATATAATAAGTCAAACAAGGAAAAGTAAGCTCACTGTACAGTTATCTCAAAAATGCAGGGTAGAATGAGCTAATCATAAATAAATTATCACAACTTCATGTTTGCTAAATGACAACAACTAACCTGTGTCTAGTTTTGTTGGTGGCATCACTAGTGGAGTCTGCAGGGCGTCTCATCTTGCTACTAAGATCATTCAACAAACGCTGAGACTCGATTATCTTGGCATTAGCAGCCTGTAAAAAATTGTACCAAATGAAGGTCACAACAGTTGAAACTGGTAAAACAAGAGATTGATAGAAGGCAAAATCTGAAACACCTACATTCCCTCAACTTACAATCAATCTTACATAGGTGCAGATCCATGTAACAGACTGGCATCAGTCATATATATATATATATATATATATATATATATATGTTATTGCGGAATTGCCAATTTTATGGAATAGGCAGCCAGTTTGGGATCTGTAGCATCAGCATTTTGTTGCCGATTCAGAAAATCGGATGTTAGAGTTAGAACATAAATGTACAGTTAGAGTTAGAAAGGTTCGGTCAAGTTCCTTTATATTTAAAATTTAAATATAAAAAAATGGTTAACTGACCTAACCCCAGATTCCTATAGTATAGAAATGCTGATTATACAGATTTGGCAAACTGGCTGCCAATTCCATTGAATTGGCAATTCCACGATTTTTGCTTGACATATATACATCAAAGATTCTCAACATTTTTGCTCTACCCATAGATTAATGATCTCGTATGCACGAAAATAACATGACAAAGGCAAGGAATATAAGTACCAGTTTAAAATACTTGTCTATGTTACCTTAACATAGACCATTATCACATATTGCTTTTTACTCTGTTTACATGTTTTCATATTAATAACATATTTTTTTATGGGACCAAATGATTATGGAGCAAAACAATACTAACTACCTTGAAGAATCTTTCTGAGAGTTTATGACTTATTAGAGAGAATTCCTATTGAGAACAATTTCATCAGAAGCATGTTTGATAAACAAGCTTTGTTGCAAAAAAAAAAATATTTACTCTAATACATGGATGTACACTTGGTCTCTTAGTGTAGTTAAAGAACTGCATGAAACTTCTAAAAGGACAAGATAAGGTCAATATGAGGCATGTAGGTGAATGGTAACTCTTGCTAGAGACAAGTTCAACACTTCTGTTAGGCCTGCATAAATGTATATTGTTTTCTGCATGTGTGATCAATATCAAATTCTCTAAGTCAAGAAATATCCACAGAAATTTCCAGTTAGAATTATTATGGCTCATCAGACCATAGCTATTCACAGCCATTTTATATAACATCTGCCGAGTGAACTGTCGAACTTTCAGCTACCTCTGTTACCAGAGCTGCCATATCCAGTGCAAATTTATGAATAAAAAAAACTACACAATACAAATTTCTTATTCCATGAAAAAATAACTTCTAAATTATTTTTCTTTCAAAGTATCAAGTAATGTGATGATTTGGGCAACAGAGTTAAATGCATAAATATGCATATAATTTACCACAAACCTTTGATGCTGCTCTGCGAACTCTTTGAGGTCCATCATTGAGGTTTTCAATGTCAAGCTCCTGTCTCTGCTCCTGCTCCTCCTGGTCATTGCTTGCAATATCCTCCTCCTTTTTTGGCCTGCCGCGACCCTTGCGTTTTGGAGCTGGAGTCTTTGGCAGGAGCAGATCTCCAGCTTCCAAAGGACTCTTGATTTTGCTGACAGCCTCAAGAAAGAGTTCTTCCAAGTAGCTTTCATGATCCTGCAATTCAATAATATTAGTTAATACCTACCAATATCAGTAATAATATAACGTACTATTGCATTATACAAGATACATCATTTAATGATATTAATGAAAAAACTAATTATTTTGTGTTGAGGCTAATTCATACCTACAAACTATTATCAATTTCATAACAAATTGTCTATAATCAATTGTTATCAGCTGAACCTGGCATTGATTGTAAAAGATCCCCATGATTTTAAAATCAAAATCTCTCTAATCCTTTTAACAATTCTGAAACTAAAGTATAATAAATAATTAATGTTAACTAAAAAATTGTTTCAATGCACACTTAACATGACAATTTCTATTATTCGTTTGAATTTACTTTAATACTTTGTTGTGAATAAAATTACACTTTTTAAATTAAGAGCCACATTCCAACTGTATTCCAAATTCCCCTTGAACCAAATTCCCCTTCAACCAATAAGAGAAAAATATTTTGGCCCAAGTAGTGTCTAGACCTGATAGATAATAAAAATACACACTACAAATCACTATTTTATACACACTATCAAACAAATAAATTTCCAGTTGAGTCCATAATAGACATAATGAGCTTCAACTTCAAGGCCTGGCTAGCTATTCTGAATTTTGTAAAGACACTGCTTTCTCATCTAAAAAGCACTTACTGCATCAAGGATCTAATATTTAAAATATCTTTTCAGCACAACCTACCAATGAAATTCAGTAAATATACCTATATATACAGGTATTTATCTTTTGACATTATCTGGGTATTGCTCTTACAAAAATTTTCATCTCACAATGGGAATGAATTGTACTGAATTGAGTGAATTCATATCAAATCAGTTCTGAATTCTCTCTTTTAATGTTAAAAAAAAGTATTCCTAAATAGTGAAAACTTTTTGCCATGGATATTTTGACACTTGAATTAATTCAAACTTACTATCATGAGTATTGACCATTACAAACAATGAGTTAGGGAGCTAAACCCTGCAAAATACACACCTGTACCAGGGAATTGAAGTTGTCTTCTTTGTCATTTGAATCCTTGATGAATGAAACAAAAATTTCTGAGATGCTTTTCAAAGCCATTTTTCAACTCTTTCACTTACCTGCACAAAACCTACAAAATGAGGAACAATTGATTAATACAATGGTAAACTTATAAAGACTCAAGTATATATAAATGTTATGCATCAATAAGCACATGATGAATCCAGAATTTCCAAAAGCAAGATGGTTGATATGCTCTACACAGACATTTTGGATTGAGAGGCAAGAGCACAAAGTGACTATGGAGCAATTGATGGAATATGAAGTGTATGAGAGAGAAGAATGGGTAATGAGTGTGAAATTGGATGCCTAGGGAAGTGAGAGTAAATGGCATGAGAGAATAACTGAAGAATGTATTAGAGTGAAAGATATTAGAGCCTGTGCTTGAGAGTGAAAATTTTGGGGAAGCTTGAGGAGAATAAAATTAACTTAGCCAAATTGGCAATAAAACTTTTTTAGACTGCAAGAGCTAACAATACTGTAAAAAGGGGTGACTTGGACCATTCACTTGGAGACTTGGACTGGTTTAAAATTTAAGTAAAGAAAACACCTATAAAAAATTGTAGAACAAGTCCCAAATCCTCAGCTGCCTGCCAAGGGTTGATTCATCACTCATCAGTGGGCAGAAGCTCACAGAGCAGCAAATAAAGATTGCTTTCGGCAGTTGGCTGCAGCCAAAAAGCTCCATCCTGCCACCAGTCATCAACTACTTGAAAACAGCACAATTCCTCAAAGAAATGTAGCAACAAAATGTGATGGTTCTGGCTACACGATAGATGGGAGGTTACTAGATTTTGCAGTTTGACTGATTTCAAAGCATGGTGTTTATGGCGCCTGTCAGTTTGTGCCTTAATGATGCACACTCAATTCACAACTTTTCACTGAGAAACATTTAACATGGATTAATATAGGTCACAACAAAAATTTTTTAGATTCAATTACTACATTATGACTGCAAAGCAACTTTGGTCTAGCTAGGAATTTTTTATACAGTTTTGTTTAAAAAATATACCATCAAACAGGGTAATAAGGGATGGTTTTCAGCGTTTTTTGTTAACTTCTTACCATGAAACATTTCAGAAATGAGTATAGGCTCATTTTAAAGCTTGTTGCAAGGGCTATTGAATGGCAACTATACACGAGGCGCCAGACACAAAATAAAAGCATCCAAATTACCCCTGGTAATGGGGTAATCCAGGACACTTGCAATAAAACTTAATTTTAAAACGTTGGAAGCATGCAGAGTGTACTCAACTATCACTAACAGTACCTAATCTGAAGTCCTCCTTTTCCTTTGTAGATGATGTAAATATAGAATAAATGGCATTTTCTGCAATTTTTTTCGAATTTTTCCCTTATTGATATGATATTACCATATCCATCCATATATTACAGTATTATTGAGGTGATATTACTGTATCCCTTACAGGGTTGGCAATGATTAAATCAAAATGATTAAATCACATGATTAAGTCACTTGATTTATTTATAAAAAAATCATGATTTTTTTTATTTTTTCGATTTTTTTTATTTTTTTGATTTTTTCATATATTTTAAAATATTGAGTGGCAGTCTTTAATTTATATTGAGGTATTGTTATTCATGGTTTAGTATAAATGTACTATGAATGACAAATTGGTATATAAACTTGTTGCCTTTAGTGTGTATTAGGTTCCAATAAATGGAATGTTTTTGGTACTGAGGCATCTAGAGTGCAATACATTTTACGTAGCTAGTACCTTAGCTAATTCTCATAAGGCTATAAGTAGTCTAACTATTTGACTATTTGTTATATATTGATTACAATATGCAAATTAAATGTGTTAGCTAGCTTATACAGGGTGGGGCAGAACTGATTGAACAGTTTTGAGGCGAAATAAAAGAGTAATGGAGGTACATTAAGAAGAAAGTTTATTTTCCTCATGATTAGCATAACATACCATTTAAAATACTTATGTTTTGAAAACAATATCAGGAAGATGGGGTTTATTAGCTGCATCACACTGTTGGAGTTGTTCTTGGAAGTTTCCTAAAGCACGTTCACACATATGGCGAGGTATGGTCATAACCTCTGCTGCAATAATCCGTTCCCTTAGCTGTGGTAGGGTGTGAGGGCAACTTCTGAACCCCTTTCTTTAAGATGTCCCCAAAGAAATAAATGCAAATGCTCAAATCAGGTGACCTCGCAGGCCACTGTAAATCACCCCTTAGAGACACCAGACCTACAGGAAACATGCGTTTCAAAACATTGAGTAACATTCGAGCTGTGTGAGCTGTAGCCCCATCCTGCTGGAACCACGTCTCTCAATGCTTCATTTTCAACAATGTTTTCAATCATGGGCTGCAAGAAATTTTGCAACATTGCAGCATAGCAATCGAAATTCACTGTTAAGGTTACTCCCTCCTCTGAGAACGACTCCAACAGTGTGTTGCAGCTAACAGCCCCCATCTTCCAGATATTGTTTTCGAAACATAAGTATTATAAATGGTATGTTATGCTAACCTCTAGGAAAATAAACTTTCTTCTTTATGTACTTCCATTACTCTTTTATTTTACCTCAAAGCTACTCAATCGGTTCTGCTACACCCTGTATATTGAGAAGTTGAGATTGTATTGAACTTTTAGGCAATTAGAAAGATTTTCCACCCTAATACGAGTATTCTAATTGAAATATTTAATTTCAATCGTTAAATATGTGAATTTAAAACTAGAAACAATTACAATTATAAGACGATATATAAAATAATTAAATGCAGTGAATGGATATAAAATATTTGAATTGTGCACATGTTTATTTCAAACAGTGTTAGCTTTTCTCATAACTTAAGTCTCGTTTCAAGTCGTATGAGGTTTGTTTGGTTATTGTTCAGTTTATTTTTAGTATTGGTTTATTGGTCTGAATTAAATGGGAATAGTGCAGTCAGTCACTCAGTCACTACTAGTCGGTATGTATAGAGGGTAGAGTCTGGTAGATTTATAGGACATAAAACTAGTAGATCTATTGATAGTGCTGTGCACTGAGCTACAGGGTTGGCAATGATTAAATCAAAATGATTAAATCATGTGATTAAATCACTTGATTTTTTTTATAAAAAAATCATGATTAATTTGATTTTTTTGATTTTTTCATATATTTAAATATATTGAGTGGCTGTCTTTAATTTATATTGAGGCATTGTTATTCATGGTTTGGAATAAATGTACAATGAATGACAAATTGGTATATAAACTTGTTGCCTTTAGTGTGTATTAGGTTCCAATAAATTGAATGTTTTTGGTACAGAGGCATCAAGAGTGTAATACATTGAATTTACTATGAATGATAAATTGGTATATAAACTTGTTGCCTTTAGTGTGTATTAGGTTCCAATAAATTGAATGTTTTTGGTACAGAGGCATCAAGTGTGCAATACATTGTACGTAGCTAGCAGCTTAGCTAATTCTTATAAGGCTATAAGTAGTCTTTAACTATTTGACAATTTGTTATATATTGATTACAATATAAATCTGCATTCCTGAAGTGTTTTTGTATATTGAAGCCAGTTAAATGGTCAATATTTAGCTCATTACCTTGCTCCATACAAACTTTACAAATCTAATTAATAGACTTATCAATAATTGTTTACCCAAAAATCCCTAAGTGGTAAACACCACCTTGGCCTGTTGGCCATTATTGAAGGCAATAATTAAGTGCCCTTTTTAGCCATCAATTATGATCCATATACTGTTATTGTTAGTAGGCTAGTTGCAGCATAAAAAATAACACCTCAAAAAGACAAAAAAGCTGAAAAAATCAAAAAAAAATCAAATAAATCAAAAAAATCATGAAAAAATCAAATAAATCATTGATTTTTGATTTTTTTGATTTTTTTTAAAAAATCAAAAAAATCGCCAACCCTGCTGAGCTATCAGCTACCTATCTGTTATGTGACTGTTCAATGTTTAGAAGATCTGCATTCCTGAAGTGTTTTTGCATATTGAAGCCAGTTAAATGGTCAATATTTAGCTCATTACCTTGCTCCATACAAACTTGACAAAGCTAATGAATAGACTTATCAATATTTGTTTACCCAAAAATCCCTAAGTGGTAAACACCACCTTGGCCTGTTGGCCATTATTAAAGGCAATAAGTGCCCTTTTTAGCCATCCATTATGATCCATATACTGTTATTGTTAGTAGGCTAATTGCAACATAAAAAATAACATCTCAAAAATACAAAAAAGCTGAAAAAATCAAAAAAAATCAAAAAAATCATGAAAAAATCAAAAAAATCATTGATTTTTGATTTTTTTGATTTTTTTAAAAAAATCAAAAAAATCGCCAACCCTGATCCCTTAACATGCCATTAAGCATTTACAAAGACCTTGTCCACTGCAAGCTTCATATCAGTAGCCATATAGTACTTTTCTGTATCTAAGCTTACAGGATGGCTTGTAATTTTGCACCATTTTAATCGGGTCAAGTAACAAAAAAGATCGTAGAAACATACCTGAAACAGAAAGGAATATTCTAGTGACAATCACCATATTTTTTGGAGATATAAATCATTGTTTAGGTTAATTACTTTACATTTTATGTAGCCTGGCGCACAATTCTATCTATGACATTCTCTGCACAATTTTGTGATGACCAATGGTGCATCTATTTTTTGTTAAGTTTTTTTTTTTTTTTTTTTGCTGAGCTGGATAAATGAAATCAAATTTAGTGGTTGTCAATTAATTTATTTTGTTAACTGCAGCCTTTGCTAATCAGGGGTTCTATTGTAAATGAATTTTTAGGGGTGTCCCTTAACCCATTAATGACGAGAATTATTTTCTGAATTTTTTTTCAGTTCCTTGTGAGAATATTATCATTTGTGATGGTAATAAGCAAAAAGTATGTACATATATTTATTTTTCGTTGTACCTATGTGAAAAATTATAGCTTGGTTCCCTATGGAACCGCTTGGCATCAACATAACGTTTCTTCAAATGACACTTTTTCCGATAGTAAATCAAGCAAGGTTGTTCATAATGGATAATACGTTATAGTATACGTATTCATAATGGACAATACTGATGATAAACCAATCAAGGCAGAATACAATTCAATTTTT